ACTGCAGACGACCGGCTAGCCGCCTGAGGGATGCCGCGGCGATGACGTGTCGACCCACCCCGGCTGGCAGCCATATGACGGGGTTGCGATATCGCGTAATTCAAAGCCTCTCTGCGTTCTTTGGATTCCGCATCCGCATCCTGGACAAGAGTTTGATCACGAATGTGAATGGCATGGCATGCACACAAGCTGTCAGCATGGGGTGGGGTATAGCGCAGGAACTCATTAGTGTCGAACGAGTGTGAGCCGGGCTATTTACCGTACAGTCACAGTACTCGCAATTACGCGCTGTTGCGCCGTCGATAAGGAGGAGTGCCTTGCTCGACCAGGTTTTGGCGGCTGTGTTGCCCGAAGTAGCTCGCCGCACAGCTCTACACATATCGGTCCCTAATTTGGCCACTTTACCCGAACCGGCCTCTCCTCTTGTCGCTCCCTAAAGTCCGCAAATCCCCCCGACGCTTGCAGAGGGTACGTGCCAGTAATCATAAATTTGTGCTTGCTTTGGACTGTGACTGTGACTCACATGGCATCGTAGAGTCCCGAGTCACAAGTGTCGGACGGCTATGGGCTGAATGTCAGGTTTTTGTCCGTTCCTATGCCCGATTGCCCGCCTATCGGAGCCTCTGAGCGCCCTCGTGCAGTCAGAGTCGTGACTTGTGCTGGTGTCGCAAGGGCCAGCAGGGTTTGGCAGCGAGCGAGCGCACTGTCCATCTGCAGCAGATGCATGCTGCTTCTCGCATCTTTGCTGCTGCGTGCTGTTGCCGCCTTGATCCGCGCAAGCATACTTAAACCCGACGGAATCGAATGCGCCCCCTCCGCGAGCACGGTGTCGCCCATCAATCCGAATCGCAAGTCGAAGGTGAACCGCATCGAAACGGGGAAAAGCTACATAATCACACCGGAGGCTGCATGGTGTGAATACATCATTCCATCAAGCCGTCTGTTGCAGACCCTCCTTGCTGAAGCCCAAATCACCTACATTTCACCACAACAAAAGGCGCTGCCAAAGACAAGATGATTCTTGACATGTACGACGACTCCGCCAGATTGGCCAACCTCTTCTCCGCTTCGTCGTCGCTGGCCAACACCTCCATGTCGAACTTTTCGTTGCACGACGCTCTCGTGGTCGATAGCAGCAGCAGCAGTGATGTGGGAAGTCGAGCTTCCGCGGACAGTCCCGACACTGCCTACACGATCGCGTCCACAGGACACAGTGACAAGGGAGCAACGGCGATCCCCAGAACAGAGCCTGTTGCAAGCTCATCTACCATTCAGGTCAACAACCGCAAGCCCAGCAAGACGCCCGCTCTTCGACGATCCTCTCACCACGCACTGCCCGAAGAGGATGCGCTCGCGCTAGTAGAGCGCAGACGGAAACAGAACCGCGAAGCACAACGTCGCTATGTGAGTGCAGAGATGCTGTTACACGGCAAAAGTAGTGTCGTGCTGCCTATAGAGGCTTACATTCTCCCTCGTACCCATAGCGTCAGAAAGCTCGCATGGCTGCAGCAAAAGAGTCGGACGCCCACGGTCCAACGCACGTTCAGCGCAAGACTTCGCCAACAAAAAGACTGTCTTCTGCGTCTGCAAGCAGCGATGACGACGCACAGATGGATGTCAACCAAGTCTCAGCTGAGAGCGATCCCTCCACTACCATGGACGCGTCCAAGGAGGAGACATACGGTGCTTCGAGCTCGGCAGCTGTTTACATGCCCGCACAATCGCCAGGAGCAGCATCGAATCCGTTCAGTCTTTCCGCTGACCTCTCCGCTCTAGTCAGTGCGACCCTCGAGGCGAACGATATGCCACATGATTTGGCTGCGTCGCCAGCGATGGACTGGCTCCTCAACGGCACCGTGCCATCGTCATCCTCATCGTCCGGCTGGTCTTCCCAAGGGGCGAGTCCACAGCAAC